AATGTTTGTTTCAAGAAAAATATAGTTGTATGGACTCTGATAAACGAACTCAAAATATTTATACCATATCATGAAATTAAATCTACGAACTGAACAAATACATACATGCAGTTTCATTGGAATAAATCCTGCAATCATCATAGTAATATCAATGAATTATAAAAGATTGATGCAAATACCTTGTTTTTTCCAAGAACTTACTTCCAGAACGTCTGTCAATTTCCCAGACAATTCCCTTCCTTGGATGATTTCTTGCTTGTGAATTTCGCCCAAAGCCTCCTTTTGTAAATATTTTTCTCACAAGACAAAATATAGACTAATTGTTTACATTTCTATTTGCACATTTAAACTGAAGCATTTTCCGTGTGAAACCACAACCCCTTCACAGCATAACCAATCAGAATTACAAAACAAAACTCAGGCTTTCCCAAGCATCAAAACACTGCATTATGTCTATCAACAAATGGTAACCAAATAGTTGTTGGACGATATCCCCACATTATGGCATTTAAAACGCTGCACTTTCCCATAACTTTCTTTAATGTGTTTAACTAAATAAGTTCCACCACAATTAACAATAGCAAAACAAAAATTGACCTAAAATTTGGTGCTTTATACATAATCTACCTTCTCTCGTTGAGCACATAAATTTGCCGAAAAAAGATGTATAATTGTTACAGCTTCACTTTTACATACAAGAAATTTTGATAATTTCATGAAAGAATGTATACAATTATTAGGACGTTCTTTTAGTTATATATTTATTTTAAATAGATGCTGACTTTATTAAATTTGAGGTTTGCCTTGAACAAATATACCATAGGACAATATATGTATCCTTTTCAAATATGACCAAGACATGCCTTAGACTAAAATCTATCAGTGGCCTAGTGGTTAGAGCGCCCACCTCAGAAGTGGGAGGTAGGGGGTTCGAACCATGGCCTAGTCATATCAAAGATTTTATTTAAATGGTACTAATAGCTGGTCGTTCGACCTAGTATCTAGGACAATGTGACTGGGTAAGACATCTTGCTACGTGTCTGTAGCATGATGCTGCAGTGCTAGACATCACTATAAACTGTCACACTGCAGACATCGTAGCGATATGACTCTTAAATTGTTAAAGTTCAGTTAAAATCCAAATGACACACACATACTCAAATGTATCTATAAGGACCCATGTAAAATGGTGCACGTGAATAACATGCTGAACTTACAACTGTGATTATCCTCACGAGCTAGCTGACGCAGTCAAATTACTCGTTACATTTATTTCTCAAAGAATATAGTCAAGAATGATCAATACTGTAGACGATGATACATAATCCATAAATGTTTCTTAAATTTAAAATTTACACTTAAATGTTTCGTTCGAGACATAACATGATGAAACATGACTGAAGTCGACATGCTGTCTACCTTGCAGCTCGGTTAAGACCTCACTCATTGGTCAATGTATTATCTATAATGTATGCCAAGACTGCTTTCTTAAAAAAATTAAAACTGTGTGCAATGGAAAATGTTTTCTGTCTCTTCACTTTGCCGTTATAGTCAGGAAAACACCAAACTTTCTTGTCAATGTTGACTGAACATGCTCTTATTTATTGTAATAAATAAAAAATTTATCTCGATCTCCGTAGAAGATACTTAGTTTGACACGTGAACAGTTGATCACATTTATTGCGACCTGCACGCATTTAAATCGCCATAACGAACGGACTGGTAAACTCTACCATGAGTTGAGCGATATTTGGTTAAGGCTATATTTGTTTAAACTGATCAGAATAGGGTTCAACTTCTGATCTGTATGGAAAACTATCATTTCTGAAACGTACCAGGAATCATTTGGGTAAACAATGTTTGTCAGTCGAACTGCATCGTTTTGAGCCTAGTTCAGAAGGGAAATATATTTCATCCAGATTTGACACGCTGTGAAAGTGGGCGTGGTTTCAAATGAAATGTGCTCATAGCAAATTTGAAAATTAATCTACGCTTCTCTACAAGAGAAAACGAACGTAAAAATACCCTGAATAATTTAAAAAGTAAACTTCACTAGTAAACTCATCCCGCGGAAACGATCGTCTGGAAAAATTGAGGCCCAATTCTGGAAACTAAGAGCTTGAAAATACAAGGTAAATGCAACAGTCTTACATAATTCGTTGATACTATTATGATAATGTGCTGAATTATTTGCTTGTATTTGCATGGGTTTAATTGTTCAAATTCGTAGATCAATATTCTTGATATGGTATAACTGTTGAGTTCGTTTAGTCCGCACAATGACATGTAGCTTTTCAGTTATGTATATATGTTTAGTTTGGTCCAAACAAAACGTGCAAAACAGAGAATGTGATTTATCTCATCACATGCAAGATCTGTGGCCTTCAGTACGTCGGAGAAACTGAAAGCTACACAAAAGGATAAACCTTCATAGATCTGATTGGATGACAAAAAAAGCTGTACAGAAGCCCGGTCGCATAACACTTCTACTCTTTGGCCACACTTTCAGTGATATAATACTTATCGCTATTGCTAACAACCACAGCTGGAGTTCCGAAACCAGGAAGGAAAAGGAATCATACTGGATACGCCGCCTTAGAACATTGAAACCCAGCGGTCTAAACCAAGAAGACTAGAAAATGAAAACTATGTACTAGTAGAATTTAACATTTTCTAAATCTTCTTATTATTCTTCAATTTCTACTATAAGAATAACCGGTATAGAATCAAATATCCGGGATATATTCTGCGTTACATATGTACAAAAAGTAAAAATAGATGTCGCTTTGGCTTGTAGACTTTTAGGGAATTATACAACGTTTTCAGTTTCCGCAACTAGTCTATACAAGCTGGTTGTATTTATAGTTTTAGCACATGTGAAGACAGCCATGTAGAGGTTTACAAACACAACGTTTTTGTGTTTATTTGTTTGTCGTATATATGTTTTGTATTTGCCTTTGAAAAAGACTCATTAAGAGTCGAAAGCGCTTAGGCTAGTTAGTTACTAGTTTCCTACTGTTCGTCGTCAGTTTATTGCATCTATTTTAATTAATCCCTGACACACGTGATCCCTTGGTGGATCCAGTACGCTTGAAAGGGTTGTTATTCGCCATATGATTTGTATTCTATATATATATATATATATATATATATATATATATATATATATATATATATATATATATATATATATATTCATTGACAGCTGTATAGTGTTGATCATTCTAGGAAGTTATGTATCTAGATGGCATATCTTATTTTATATAGGAAATTATGCTTCTAGAATTTCATACCTAGTTTTATTTAAGATCACGATATGTACGAATATTCCGATCTTATTTGAGGTCACATATGATAATGACCTTATAGTATGTATTTGTTATAAATACCGTAGTGTAAGGAATTGCATTCAATTTTTGGGCAATGAATACAAGTCTAGAACTAATATCTTGGTGTGGTGTTGAAATAGCCATTAGTATGACCATTAATTTTGTGAAACTAGGCGTGTAAGATCTGTCATGAGCAATTAGACTTGATAGTCGTTGTATCCATTTGAATTCCGACAGAAACATATCTGACAAAAGTAGGCTGGGTATTGATATATTCCCTTAATATAATGTGACGGAAGATTTAGGATGCTCTTGTTTATATGTTTCGAATGTGAGATGGCTTCAAGATATATTAACCTGACTCACGTATTTACAAACTAAGGGGACTACACAAAGTTGGAAGGGTTGAAAGTGGCCTGATATCTAAGAATTTGGAAAAGGAATGGAAACATTGGAGAAGACTTAGACTTACAGGCACAAGGAAGTCAAAGGGAACAGTCGCTGTGGTATTTGGCATGAGTCATGACATCAGGTTATGAATCGATACAAGGCAGTGTTTCTCCGACGGTTATCAATGTATACCTTTTTAATCTGGAAGCAAATAATTGATCAATATTGTTTTAATAGTGTACCAAGTAAGAAAAATGTTACCAGAAATTTAGATTTACAATGTAGTTTGAAAATAACTTTTGCATTACATACAGACAAAGTTTGCTGACTACGTATTGTTGTTCTAGTGATGTTCTTATAAGGGGGAAGGTACATCATTATCTAGCTAACTAGATAAGCTTATCAAGCATACATACATACATACAAACATACATACATACATACATACATACATACATACATACATACATACATACATACATGCATACATGCATACATACATACATACAAACATACATACATACATACATACATACATACATACATACATACATACATACATACATACATACATACATACATACATACATACATACATACATACATACATACATACATACATACATAGTCCCTCTAAATCGTGACGAAAACTGACCGAATTATGATGATAAACGAGTCACTTGTCATTCTTGTTCTTTTTATCCCTCTCGTGTGCTTTCTACTGTGAATCGATCGCGTTTTTTTTCAAAAAACAATGAATAGCAATGACGTTCAAGGAAAGACTATCCAAAATTAAGTTCCTAACGGGGCATTTTTTCCAGATTAGATACTATGAAATGTAAGATACTAATGGCATATATTTAATTACATTCCTGTAAACGACAGTATTGAATCAGAACATCTTGTGGAAATCCAATTAAGCAATACCCAAGAGAAATAAACTGGAATAATGTTTTGTCACCGTAATACTAATACGATTCCAAGGTGTTAATCGTAAAATATGCAAGCGAGAGAAAGGGAATACAAATAGTTGCTAGTGACATTAATAGCAAAATGCACCTAAACGTCTCTAATCATTCTGAACAGATTGTTGAAAGATAAATTTGTTGAGACTGATAAAGTGTTCATTTTCAGTTTAATTGAAAAGCATAGTTTCTGCATTTTTTTCTTCCTCTTAGTATTATTCGAGACCATTTCGACTTTTGCAGATGAAAAAAATAGCAACTGAACAGACCTGCTTGAAGCATCGTCTAAATGACATGTATTCTTTTGTTTCATAGAGACCGCTGCAGTGGCCTAGTGGTTAGAGCGTTCGCTTCGGATGCGGAGGATCGCGGGTTCGAACCCTGGCCGAGTCATATTAAAGATTTATAACAAAATTGTATTACCAGTTGCCTCGCTAGGCGCTTAGCATTAAGAGGTTAGTTTTAGGACTGGTCGGTCTGGTTTCAAAATAATGTGACTGGGTGGGACGTAATGCTACATATCTGTGGCATGATATTGCAGTGCTAGACATCACTATAAACTGCCATACTACAAACGTCGTACCGATATGACTCTTAAATTATGAAAGCTACGTTAAAAATCCAAATCGCACACATTTCACAGAGAATATGTTCCTAGTAGAATCACTAGACTTACATTTCGCGATAGCATTACTGTTTATTTTCCGTGACTTTTTAAGTCTGATATGACGTTTAGATAAAGTACAAAGCCATAAGACCGAAAATAATCATTGGGCTTAACTCCTGGGATTAAATGTATGGCAAAGGAAAGCGTCGGGGATAAAATACGGCTTCGATTTTTCCTGTGATGCTACGGATGCAGTATTTTAAAATTTGTTTGATCTAGATTTGGAATTCGAGAATCTGGTGGTTGATTTTTGTTTCTCATTGCCAAATTTTGATAATGAGCACAACTCATCTGTAAATTTGTTTTATTGATCTGTATACAATACCTGAGCCAAACACACTCTGCTATAAAAGCCGTCTTTGTACATAGTGCGAAATATTCATACAAATCTACTTTATAACAAAATAATCGTGTTCAAGTACGTGCATTCCAAATCGATGCAAATCAAACATTAATAGTAACGGCCATTACGAATGAACGGAAGTAATCTCATTGAAAACTCTCATGGAGAACTTTAAAGAAGGTAGAACATGTATGCTAGACGTCATTCGTTGCCATTAAATATCTAAACATACTTGGTATCTAAGTCGGTCAATATCTCTTTTCGAAATAAATTATGGGGTAGTATGCTAAATTCTCTTACAGTTCAGGAATTGCTGCGAATAAAAAACTAAAAGATATTAAATAATGACGCATGACTTCAGAGTGTGTAATCCATTTTTTGAGTATAAAGGAGCAAGTCAGCGAACATATTAGTTAACCCATAAAAACGAATAATAAAAGCTCTAGTTTATTTCTTGCATTTATCGAAATCCTTATTTTACCTAACAAAGAAACATTAATTGAACTTCATAAACAATAAATAGATGCACAAAACAATATCAATCATCTTGAGTAATGCATGTATACCTGACTAAAACGCTTCTTGAAGAAATAACTTTCATGGTCCGTTCTGTAACATTCACTAGACTTGGCATAATTGGAACTGAGACAGAGAACCGGGTCGGGGTACAGGCGCCTAAGGGTATGTGTATAAGTGTGTTCCATAAGTATGAATACGGTAACACTGGTCACCAACAGCAAAATGAATGGACATAATTAATTATGAATGTACATAATAGGAGGCAGAGGTAAAATCTGTTTTGATTAGAAATCAATCTATACAGCACGAAGACATCCTTCAGAAAAAGTGATGGATGTCATTGCAGCTTCTTTTGCCACTGAAATAAGTATCAAAATAAATATATATATATATATAAATATATATATATATATATATATATATATATATATATATATATATATATATATATATATATATATATATATATATATATATATATATATATGGTAATGGTCACACGCAACATACCCTTGCAAGGACGTTGAACACTGCAAAAATAGCTTTGATTGTTTTATACCTCAGCGCAGGTGGTTGGTTGGGGGTATTCCCTCAGGGAAGGTGGTTAACTAGGGGTATTCCCTCAGGGCAGGTGGTTGGACAAAGGTATTCCTTAGTGCCAACCCTGGTTAATTTAGCAAGACAGTAAGAGTTGTGGAAACATATTTGTAAGTACCGTGCGATTTGCAATCATCCGACGTGCTGTAATAAAAATTGAATACGAAAACATACTTAACATTTGCTCTGTCTGCTAATTATCTCTGTCTTCTCTTGAAACAATAAGCTCAGTTACGACCTTTTTTGAATGGCAAGAGTAGCTACATTGCAATTTACTTACTTCCAATTCAGTCGAGAAATAGGATATAAATCCCTTGTCTTTAGAGTAAAAAGGAAAGAATTATTTTATATTTTCATAGTGATAGATATATGTGATTAAATTGCTTGTATATAAGTTTTAAAAAATATTTTTATTTCATTTTGTTTCATTGCATTGTAATGAATATTTTGTCTGATTCGGGATTCTTTTTCAGTAATAAAGTATTTTCTTTTAGCAAAAGTTATTTATTTACGACGAAGAAGTATTACGTGAAAATATTTTTTTTAGTTAACCTAATAAGTCTTGGGGTGGCAACAGGAAGTTAAAACGATTGGTCAGTATCAGGGTCATACTTTCTTTGCGTGATCACTATGTGTAAACAACATTTTTTATGATTGGTTCCTAAGTGTGGACAAATTGGTGTACGTGCTCAAGTTCGTGTAGTAACAAACCACATGACTAATTTCGCGAGACTTGTAATAATATTTTGGGGACTTAAATAATCCTTTTTAATATTCTTCAGAGTTATTCTAGCATCTTGAAGGAACAATGCGTATTTTTGTATTTATTTCTTGCCAGATTGTTTGTTATTCGTCTGATTTTGGGATTTAATAATTGTTTCCCTGAAAACTCAACAAGTTGACTTTTGGTTAAAAACATTATCAATGATATTCATGGAAATTTGTTCTGAAATTATTCGGAAACATAGGCTGTGATTCAAGTGAAGAATTTTTCGTACAATAGACTACATCTGAGGTCATCGCCTTCCATATTTGTACGTCGTCAGGACTCGAACGTGGATTCTAATTGGTCTATTTAGTAATAGGACTTGTGCTTTCATTCTCAGGATCAAATTTTAGATTATATTCACAAACGGTAAGTCCTATTTACTAATTTTTACATTGTTGTCATTGGAAATAAATTAATTTGCTAAATATTGGCTTATTGGCTTTCACTCTTGTTCGTCTTTGGATATTATGAATTTTTGTTCAATATTTCTGAAATTTGTTTTTTTTTAAATTCCCCTAGTTTCAAAATCCTAAGTACTATTTTACATTTTTATTTGAAATCATAAGTGAAAACTAGTCTTTCGTTTAGAATGTCATTAAAAGTGGATACTTTTCTTTCTAATCCAACTGAAGAACAGATGGATAGCCTTAAAAAAGAAAGTTCGATCTTTCTGAAGCAAAATCTTAATTAACTAAATGAGACATTAAAATTATTTTGATCCAATATTTTGTGGGGAAAAGTGTTTTTGATAAAAGTGTTTTGGAATCAGTTAGTAAGTCTATGACCGTTAATGAAATTGAAGTAAAGGAAATCAAAATGAAATGTAAAATGGAAGTATAGTTAATGAAACTCAAGCTTCAGAAAGAAGAAAACGATAAACAAATGCATTTGCATGAGAAGCAATTGCAATTGCATATTGAGTAGAAAGAGAAAGAGATAGGGACAGGCGAGAAAGAGAAAGAGGAAGAGAGACTGGAGAATGAGAAAGATAAACAATTAAATTTAAGAAAGAGAGGAGAGACATATAATTACAAAGAAAGAAGGATGAAAGGGAATTTCAAAGACTTTGGTGTGGCAATTGGCAAGCGCGATGTCACTTCACATACAGATGCAAGTCTTGACATTACAAACAATATTAGGCTAGTTCCCATTTTAGAGTAAAAGAAGTAGACAAATAGTTTCCTCATTTTAAAAAAGTTGCCGAAAATTTGAAATGGCCAAGGGAGTATTGGACTCAGCTTTTACCGTATGTACTAGTTGATAATGCTAGTGATATTTATCATTCAATGCCTATACAATAGGGTTCTGATTTTTATTTGGTTAAGAAGTGCATCTTAAGTGGCTATGCATTAGTCCCTGAGGTTTATCGGCAAAAATTCAGAAACTATCAAAAGGAAGTTGGGCAGACTTATGTCGAATTTGCTAGAGAAAAAATAACAGTTATTCGAGAGATTGTGCGTAGCCCAAAACGCTAAGCATAATTATGAAAATATCAAAAAAACTTTTGTTACTTGAAGAGTTTAAGAAATGCGTCCCTAGTAACATTAGGAAACATCTTGAAGAGCGTGACATTCAAACCTTGGAAAATGCTGTTCTCATCTTGTGACATGTGACAGTCGGTATATTGTATAACCTACCCGTTGAGGGCATTCATTTTGTTACTAGGCAAAGACCTAGCTGGAGACAAGGTTGTGGTTAATCCACTTGTAACTGATAAGCCTTCTTTGGATCAGAAATTTGAATCAATTGAAAAAGAATGAATACTCTTAGCTATACCCAGCTTGTGCAGTTACCAGAGCTATGTCAAAGAAATGATAATGATTCTCATAAGGAAGATATTCCTTTAGCTGACACATGTATTGGTCAGGATTTGGATCAGTCGGGTGGTATTGATCACAGTGATCCTCTTTTAAATACTCATTCTATTTTATCTAATTAGAGTGATAAACAACGAACACTTGTTGTCGAACAGGAAAAAGATCCTGAGATCTCCTATTTGTTTCAGTGGTCCATTAGTAAAATTGAAGCCATTGAAGTACCTGTCTGTTACTTCATTAAAAATTCTTAGGAAAAACTGAGACCTCTCGAGGTACCTGCTAATGATGAGTGGTCAGTGAACTATTGGAATTCCAAAATCTTACAGACAGAAAATACTTAGTTTGGCCCATGAAACTCTTCTGGCTGGTCATTTAGGTATAAAAACAACTTATGGCAAGATCTTGACTCGCTTTTATTGGCCAAAAATCAAAAGTGATGTTTGTAAATTTTGTAGATCTTGTCATCCTTGTCAAATGGTAGGATAACCCAATCAGAAGTTACCTAAGGCTCATCTGCAACCAATTCCTGCATTTGACGAAACATTTAGCAGAATTATGGTAGATTGTGTTGCTCCCTTACCTAAGACCAAGTCAGGCAACCAATATTTGTTGAGCATTATGTGTGCTTTAACAAAATTACCAGAGGCAACTCTTTTGGGGAATTATATAGATAAAGCTTTT